ACTCGGCAATCGGCAAGGAGCATCTGGCACAGTACAACGAAGACTTCGGCGTAACCACCAACGGACTCTCTGCCGATTCCTATGAGCTCATGGACGACGCTGCTCTCCTGCCTGCAACGGCCCTGGCTGTCGTCCCTGGTACTTGGCCCTGCTTCCCTGCTCACGCGCCTCTTCGCTCACATCTGTTCTGATCACTTCAGGTTTCAACGTGCCGGAACTGAGGGGCCTCACGCTCGTTCTGGACTTTGAAACGATGGCGGCCATCTACTTAGGTAAGTCAAGGCCTGACCTTCGCAAGGCTGGGTTGATGTGTGCTGAACAGATCGCCTCACCATCACTGGACAGGGCAAATCACTATGTGGAACGACGATCGCATCAAGGCCCTCAACTCGATTGAGGTAGTTGCAGGGCTTCCCGTCCAACCCATCATCGTGATCACACAATCGATCAGCTCTTCCGTCACACAAGCCTTCACGACAGCACTCAACCTCACAGTGCCAGAGTTCTCTGCTCAGGTGCCGAACCCTCAGACTTGTCACCTTTACCCTGTTCGTCGCTCACCGCCTTATTTATTGGTGGTGGTGTGCAGGTGGGTGCCGGCACCCTGGTGAGCTATCCGGTGCAGGCCGACGTAAATCGCTCAATCGTAACGGGCGCAGTGGACGGGATCATGTCCAACTTGCGAGACGTTCGCTATTCGTTTACGACCTGGCTGGCCTACGAAATCCTGCTGGTGCGCTCCACCGGTTGGTGCGCAGTGGTGAGCTGTTACTAACTGACCTTGTGCCTGGGGCCTCGGTGTGTGTCCCACAACAGAGCCGAACGCTGGGCGTGGTATCGCTGAAGAAGTCAGATGGAACTGTGGTGCACCCGACTGTGGACTCGGTCAAAGTCGCGCTCAACGATTACTTGAGCTCCGGTTCGGGCCTCGCCTATGATCTGATGCTCCTCGGTACGACGAAGCACGAGCTCTCTTTTGCTCGCCTGGCTGCGGCTCACACTCATCGCCATCATCGTCATCAGGTAAAAGCGCAGATGCCTGGCCGATCGCCACGTTTGCGTCGTTCATCTACAGGCAGCGCACGATGAGAGATTGCAAGAACGCTGCCGCCCTGGCCGACTTCATGTACTGGTCCCAGTCCGACG